GATCGCACATTCTCTTTTCTCCCTTACCCTACTCCTGTATGAAAGTGTCTTTTCTAGGCAGTCACCTAGGTCCTGAGCTATCCACTGTATCTCTACAACCTTTCTCTTGCATCTTCCCCTTCCTCATAGCCTTTTCCCTAGTTCAAGCCCATATTACCTTTCACCTGAACTATTGATAAAGCCTCCAAATTGGTATCTTGTCTCTCTCTTCTATTTATTCACTCAGCTGCCAAAGTTGTATTTCCCCAAACAGGGGTCAAGCTTTTCTGAACTGTACCCACTTTCTGATCTGAGTTCTTATATAATAGGCATGTGGGTATCCTCCTACTTCCTACTCATTCTACTTTAGTTACTTCCGTCCAGTTAAGCTGATTCCACAGTGAGGCACACAACTCTAGCTAAGACAATCAGAGGCTCACAATGACTGATTCTGAAACTGGCCCCAACAGAGCCACTAAAGTGCCGTAAGACTTTTGCGGAGACTTTTGGGGCGGACGCATATGCTTTATACTGCTGTAACTGCTATTATTATTGCTATATTTTACCACCAGAGGACAGCCTGTCTGAGAAACTAACGCAGAATAAGTGAAGTTGAGAGAGGCAAAGAGAGAAATTCGATCCTGGTGACATTTTCTGAGCCCTAGCATCAACATATGTCTGAAGCCAGTTTCCTTGGATTGTTCACTTACATCTACTAATCTCTCTTTTTGGTCAAGCCTTTTTGATTCAAGCAACCAACTAGCAACCAAAAAAGTACTAAACAACACCCCCTATCTTTTCAGGTACCATATGATTCAACTACATCAGATTCCTCACCAGTATCAGAATACTGTGTCTTTCCTTATTTTCCTCCAGTCTGGAATTTTCTTCCCTTTGTTTGGAATCCCCTTCCCTTCATTCTTTGCTTATTAAGATCCACCTTCTATTTCAAGCCTCAGCTCAAATGCCTCAGTGAAACTATCATCCAAAACTGGGGAAAGAAGCAGAAGGCCAGACTACACAAGGATTTTAAACCATGCTATGGCTTCTTCTACTTTAACCTAAGGGTAAAGAAATGTCACTAACTGGCTTTAAATGACATCAGATTTGCAATTTTAAAAAAATCACTCTGGTTGCTGTGTAGTGAATGAAGTAGAGAAGGACAATGATGGTAATACGTGCTAAAAAGGCAATGGAGAGAGATGAATGTATTTCTGTAATTATTTTATTTCTAAATAAATCCCCCTCTGTACTGTAAGCTCCCTGAGGACAGAGAAATTACCCGTTGACTATCATTTTACTCGCAGAAATCACTAAGTGATTGGCACACAGTAAGGACTCGAATATTTGTGGAATACATGAATATATAATTAACAATCTAATCTGTAAATTGAGCAACTGAGTAAATGGTAGTATCATTTATGAAGATAGGAAACACAGGAAAAGTCAATTTGGGGTTTTTTTGTTTGTTTTTGAGCAATAGAAGGGAGAAGATGTTTTGAACAAGTTGAGTCTGAGGTAATACATTCAAGCAGGCAAATGGATATATAGGATACACACACATACATGCACACACATCTAAGGATCAGGAGAGAGATCTGGGCTAAAGATAGTGATTTGAGAATTCTGGTCACATACATGGTAATTGACTTTATGAGAAGAGATGAGATTGCCTAAGAATATATCAAATGAAAAGAGGATGGAGATCATAGACCAAAGGGGCATTTAAAGGTTAAACAGGAAAAGAGAAGCCAAGGAAGAACACTAATAGCTCTGACAGAAAAACAAACATAAGAGGGTCCTCTAACTAAAGCAGTGGTCCCCAACCTTTTTGGCACCAGGGACCAGTTTCATAGAAGACAATTTTTCCACAGGAGGTGGGGGGATAGGTGGTGGTTTCAGGATGATTCAAGCACATTACATTTATTGTGTAGTCAAACCTCTCTGCTAATGATAATCTGTATGTGCAGCCGCTCCCCAGCACTAGCATCACTGCCTCAGCTCCACCTCAGACCATCAGGCATTAGATTCTCATAAGGAACCTGCAGCCTAGATCCCTCGCATGCGCGGTTTACAGTAAGGTTCAAGTTCTTATGAAAATCTGATGTCACGGCTGATCTGACAAGAGGTGGAGCTTATGCGGTGATGCGAGCGACGAGGAGCAGCTGTAAATACAGATGAACCTTTGTTGGCTCACTGCTCACCTCCCGCTGTGCCAACTGGGTTCCTAACAGGCCACAGACTGGTACTAGTCTGCTGGTCTGCGGCCTGGGGGTTGGGGACAGCAGAACTAAAGCCAAGGGAAGAAGAAGGAGGTGTAGTCAAAGTGTGTCAAACAATGTAGAAGAGGGAGGGAGTGAAAAAACTACAAGTATCCTTTGGATAAAAACAGTTTTGGTAGAGTGGGTGGGGGTGGAACTGGAGACTACTTAGTTTGGAGTGGGTTCAAGGTTGAGTAGAAGATAAGGAAATGAAGTCATCCAATTATCAGATATCTTGTTCAAGAACTTTGGCTACAAAGGAACTGAGATACAAAGCTGCAGGAGAGTAATAGGGAGAGTCAAGGGAAGTTTTGTTCCTTTTTTGTGGGTTTTGTTTGTTTTACAGAGCTTTATCTTAAGCATGTTAAATGTTGATTGGAGACAAGCTAAAAAAAGGGGATAAAGTAAAAGAAAAGGGGAGAAGAAATAATCAAAAATGAACAAAGTCTTTGACGTAGAACATGGACAAAGGAAGTGGTTTTGAGTAGAGGCAGCAGTATCTATTCCACTAAAGTAATACACCATAAGGAAGAGTGAGTAAGGACGTAGGCATATTTATAGATTTGGTAACTGAAAATTATGTGAGAGTTTCAACTGTGTAATGAACATGTTGAAGTTTAAACACTAAAAGTAACTGTTCACTGAAATTTTTTTCTAAATTATAAGTTTAGGATATACATTAACATATAAGTTAAATAAAGTAGCTGCCCCCTTCCTAAACCCTAACCTTATAAGGAAAATTAAAAACAAAATTTATCAAATGCCTACTATGTACAAGAAACTATGCTGTGGAGAATGCAAAATGGGCTCTTTTCCCAGGTATTTGTATAGCTTGTTTCCTCATTTCCTTTAGGCTCTGTTCCCACAGTCTGCTTTTACCATGGCATTTACCACCTGCCCTACTATACTTGTTTTATTGTCTGTTTCCCCCATCAGAATGGAAGCTCCACAGGGCAGGGACTTTTTCTGTTTTATTCACTATTGTATCCCCAGCACCAAGAATAGTGTCTCTCATGGATAGGGATGCAAAATAAAATTCTGATTTAATGAAATGGTAACTTCAAGAAGGTACTACCTGCTAAATTGAGGAGAAATGATTATATAAAGACTATACTTGCTATGATCTGAATGTTTGTGTCCGCTACCCCCAAGTACATTTGTTAAAATCTAATCCCCAATGTGATAGTATTAAGAGGTAGGGCCTTTCAGGTCTAGTTTTTATCAAAAAAATAATAATAATTAAAATAAAATAAATAAGAAAAAAGAGGTGGGGCCTTTAGGAGGTAATTAGGTTATGAGGGCTCTCCCCCCAATGAACGGGACTAAAAGAGGCCTGGGGGAGCTTATTTGTCCCTTCCACCATGTGAGGACGCACAGTATACAATTAAATGGGTTTTAATATATTCACAGAGTTGTGCAACCATCACCTTCTAGAACATTTTCATTACCTCAGAAAGAAACCCTCTGCCCCTTAGCTATCACCTCCCAAGTTCCCAGATTCCCCAGCCCTAAGCAGCCACTGAACTACTTTGTCTCTATATATTTGCCCACTGTGGACATTTCATATAAATAGAATCACATAATACATGGAATTTTGTGACTGGTTTTTTTCACTTAGCATGTTTTCAAGGTTCATTCATACATGTTACAGCATATATCAGTACTTCATTCCTTTTTATAGCCATAATATTCCATTATATGGACCACATTTTGTTTATCCATTCATCAATTGATGGACATTTGAGTTGTTTCCACTTACTATTATGAATAATGCTTCTGTGAATATTGATGTATAAACTTTTATGTAGTAAAATTTTTTATAAGAAATGTGAATTTTCATAAAGCTAAATTTATCCAACACAAAGCACTTTATTCTAAAACAATGTTCTCTAAACTTTTTTTTTTAATGTTAAAATATCCTTTTCTGGCCAGGTGTGGTGGCTCACACCTGTAATCCCAGCACTTTGGGAGGTCGAGGCAAGAGGATCACTTAAGGCCAGGAGTTCAAGATTAGCCTGGGTAGGCCGAGCGCAGTGGCTCATGCCCGTAATCCTAGCACTCTGGGAGGCCGAGGCGGGTGGATCCTTTGAGCTCAGGAGTTCAAGACCAGCCTGAGCAAGAGTGAGACCCCGTCTCTACTAAAAAAAAAATAGAAAGAAATTATCTGGACAACTAAAAATATATAGAAAAAATTAGCCGGGCATGGTGGCGCATGCCTGTAGTCCCAGCTACTCAGGAGGCTGAGGCAGTAGGATCGCTTGAGCCCAGGAGTTTGAGGTTGCTGTGAGCTAGGCTGACGCCACGGCACTCACTCTAGCCGGGGCAACAGAGCGAGACTCTGTTTCAAAAAAAAAAAACAAAAAAAGACTAGCCCGGGCAACATAGTGAGACCCTATCTCAACAAAAATTTGTAAAAATTAGGCAGGCACAGTGGCTAGCACCTGTAATCCCAGCTACTTGGGAGGCTGAGGCAGGAGGACTGCTTGAGCTGAGGAGTTCAAGGCTGCAGTGAGCTATGCACATGCTGCTGAGCTCCAGCCTATGTTATAGAGCGAGACCTTGCCTCAAAAAAAATCCTTTTTAAATGAAATGATGGCAATATCAAAAGGTAGTTTTTTTAAATTTTGCTTTTCTGTTAAACCCAAAAGTCTAAAAAACATTGATGGAAAGAAATACAAGATAGCTTCTAAGAAAAACTAGGGAGGTTCCCCTCCCTGCAGAGTTGATGGCACATATTGTAAACAGTAAGAGATGAGATACACAGGCCAAAAGGTAGATCTTGAAAGCCAGGCTAAGAAATTTGGGCATTATCCTATGGTCAATAAGGAGATTAACGAAGCTGTTTAAATATAAAATTACTGACTCCAAGATACCACTTCATACAACAAACCGTAACTGAGCTATGCTACACAAAAAGCACTGAATTTGGTGCTGAGTTTTGCTTCAGTGATTTCAAAAAAATTTTGCCTCTGACACTACTGAAACCACTCTAGAAAAGATTATAAATGACCTCAAACTGGTAAATCCAATTTTTAATTTTCAGTTCTCATCTTACTTGACCTATCAGCAGCATTTAACATAGGTAAAGCAGTCTTTCCTCCTTTAAATGCTTTCCTTACTTGACTTCTAAGACACCATACTCTTCTGAGTTTTCTTCTTACTTTACTAGCAGCTCCTTCGCAGCCTCCTATGCTGGTTCTTCCACAGCTCCCCAGTTTCTAAACATTAAAAACAGTCAAGGCTCAGTCCTTATACTGCCTCTCTTTTTATCTACACTCATTTTCTTAATTTTCTCAGTCTCATGGCTTCACTAGAATGTAGCTTCAACACGGTGAGAATTTGGGGTTATTTTGTTTATGTTGAGTCCCCTACACCTAAAATAGTGGCTGGCATTAGGAGGTGCTTGACAAATATTTGTTCAATAAATGGATGAATAAATGGCTTTATAGATTATCTATAAACTAGTAACTCTCAAATTTATACTTCCTGCCTGGATCTCTGTCTTGAGCTCCAGATATATCCAACTGCCTATTGGCTATTTCCACTTGAATGTGAAAAAAAAAAAAAAAATCTTGAACAAAAGAGAACTCCAATCACCCCCGCAATGGCTTCTCCAATTGACTTCACTTCCTTAGCAAAGTGCAGTTCCATCCTTCTAGTTCCTCAAGCCAAAAATTTTGAAATCATTCCTAACTTTTCTTTCTCTCACACTACATATTCAATCTGCCAACAGATACTGTACATTCTGCTGTTAGAATACAACCAGCATATGACTACTTCTCATCACTTCCACCATTATCATCTCTCACCTGGATGAATCAATAGCCTCTTAACAGGTCTTCCTGCTTTTTGTCCACCTCCACTCCCCAATTCAGTTTGTTCTCAGAACCGCAACGAGAAAAATTTTTTTCAAACTTACGTCAGATTATGTTACTTCTCTGCTCAAAATTCTTCAATTATTCCCACTTGAATCTGAGTAAAAGCCCAAACCTTGATAACTGCTTATAAAGCACTATGCAGTCTGGCTCTATGACAACTCTGACCTCATCATCTACTACTCTTCCCTCACTTATTCTGCTCCAGTCAGATGGGCTTCCTCTGCTGTTCCTTCCAAAGGTCAAGCACATTTCCACCCAGGGCCTTTCCCCATATATATTGTTCCCTTTGCCGGGAATGCTCTTCCACTAGATATCTGCATGCCATCACCTCAAGTACGCTCAACTGCCACCTTCTCTGTGACTTTTCCCTGTTCGTATTTAAAACTGCAATGCCCCATCCCTACCCTTGTAATCCTTATCCCTTTTCTCTATTTTTCTCCGCAGCACTTATCGCCACCTAAAGTACTATAGTTTCTGCTTGAAGAGGACAAGACTTTTTGTCTGTTTCATTCACTGCTATATATCCCTGGCATTTAAATCGGTGCCTGGCACATAGTAAGTGATCAACAATCTATCTGCTGAGCTTGTGCTTCCATTTCCACCAGGGAAGCCTAACAATCATCTGGCCTGGTATTTCAGGAAATGTTCATAAAATGTTTCTAAGATTTCTTCCAGCGTTCTGATCCCTAGAAGGACTATACTTTGCCTAGAAAGAAAAACTGTGCTGTGTGTAACCAACCACAAGGAGGAGTTGAGAGGAAGAACTAACTGAGCAAAGAGAAACCAGATAATGTTGTTTCCCTTGCTTTTCCTACAGTAACCTCAAGGTGGAAGAAAACTAGATTTGGAGCCAAATGTACTGAATGAATGATTTTCCTCCATACTATGAGTTACCTAGACACACACAAACGTAAACATCAAAGACCAAAATTTTTCGAATGCCACAAAGAGGCCAAGGGAACTAATCCACCGGCCACTAAGGACTGGGAGGGTGTTTCTTTAACTCCACCACCAAGAATTCTCCATAAATTCAAGGGAAGAGTTCCCATTACTGCAGAGAGACACGTAACTCACCGATAAAGGCCAAAGTATTCCAGGTCGTGAGTGCTCTCTGGCCAGAGAACTATTAAGTCAATTCTACGTAATATTCAAAGCACCTGCAATTCTTAAACGTCATAAGCAAGGCAGTGTGAGGTCTAAATTCTCAGATTTGGCTCACAGAACATAATTCATTAACACCCGATTCATTAAACACCAAAATCAATTCCCCACGGGCTTTTAACTCACCGCCACCTGTTGATGCCCACATTGGAGGATCCGGCAAACCAGGGGTCAAGGATGTAGACGCAGCGGATGGTGTCGGCGCCCTGAATGCAGTCCTTCAGGGCGGGGTTGTCGTGGAGTCGCAGCCCCTTTCGGAACCAGTGCACAGCGTTCACCCCCATGCTGAGGGGCGCGGCGGGCGGCGGGTCACCCCTGACTTCCTCCACCGAGAAATTCAAGGAAGGAGGGTCCGGCTCATAACCGATGCCTTCGTTTCCAGGAGAATCGCCTCACCCAAGGAGTGAGGAAAGGGCGGCACAGGGGGGACAGGAAAAAATGAATCCGAGGAGGGGACCGGAGAAGGCGGGGGCGCTGGAGGCGCAATTGGAAGATGAATGGAGGTTGCCCAGTCGGCGGAGTCCGGGTGTGACGCCCTTTAGGAGCCGGCGCCCGCCGCAACCGCCTGCAGGCGACGCATAACTTCGAGGGCCTCGGACCGCCGGAGCGTGAGCAAGTTCCAGGCGCTTGAGCCGCCACGACGGCCCGAGCGGGCACCGACAGCCCCAGGAGGTTCGTCACGGAAACCTCGCCCCACCAAGGCGGCCCCTGAGGACAAAACGGCCCGCCGGAGGTGAGTCACTTGAGAGGAACCGACAGAATTCAGCCCCTGTCGACGACGCTATCTTTAGGCCAGGGAGAGACGACCGAGGAGGGAGGAGGAAGGCGGTGGTCGAGGCCGCTGGACGGTTGCCGGCCGGTGACCGGTCCCGAAGCTGCCCGGGTGACTCCGCCGCCGCGTCAGCGGCCTCGGCCCCGCCCCCTGCTCCTCACTGGAGGACGCGCGCCCCACGTGACCACCGGCACCTCACGTTTCTGAAGTGTGTTTACTACACTGGCTCGGACTGGGCGATCTGCTCGCGTTTCAGTCGCTTCTGAAGGAGCGGCAGCCACCGGATCCCACAGCTGTCGCTCCTCGCCTAAACGCTACGCTCCCTGCCTCTACCCCTTTCCTCTGCCGACTGGTCGCGGTCCGCTGGAGACGCCCGCGGTGATCCCGGGCCCCTTGTGAAGGAAGGCTTAGCCCCGCCCCCGGGGGCCACGAGTAGCCACCATTGGCTGAGGCTCGCTGAGACCCGGATGAGCACGGGGATGCGGGGAGCTCGCGGGCGCGCGCTCTGCTCGGGAAAGTGCGCGTGCGCTCTCGAGTTCCAGAGGGAAAGGGAGTGGTGCCGCGGATGGGAGCGCGCTCAGGGGTTCCTGCTATGGGATTTGGGGACGACCTGGAGACTGTCCCGTTTCCTTCCAGAGTCAGCATTGGAGCTGGGCGGGGAATTGGGGGGGAAGGGATGGAAGAGGCTCCACTTACATTTAAAGCCCAAACCATGTGCTTCAAAAGGGCTTCTGCCAGAGAACCCTACTTTGGAGTGTGGGGAGCTGGCACCCCTACCATTCTGGCCCTTCGGTGCCACATCCTTGTACATGCTCTGAGGAAGTGTAGTAATTGGCAGGACAGGTGCCAGGCTATCCTGCACTTCTGGAATTTCTTAATACTATGGTTATAGCATCGACGTATCAGCCCTAATCGCTTACATTTAGTGTGGTTTACAGGTCTCTTCGTGACTGAGCCTTTGTCTTCCTTTCCGGCAATAATGAACTGCAGGCCATGCTATGCTGTAGACATATGATGCCCTTATACTCACTCAGGTTAATTATTGAATGAACCGGATACTGGTCAAAGCATTGGAGATATAAGAGATACTTAATAAAATAGACAAAAATCCCAGCCCTTACGGGATTTACAATTTGTCTCTTAACCTTTGTGCTATTTTTTCCTACATAAAATCCTCTTCCTTGAAATCCGCTACTGACTACAGCCACCTTTGAGCTACCTAGTATAGTTCCACACACCCCTTTGACTCAGATGAAATGATACCCAATTTGTGAAAATATTCCTGACCCCTAGGGCAGATTTAGGACCTCCCTAAACTCTCTAAGTGTGCCTCTGTTAAATCACTTATCACATTATTGTGAAGATTAAAGTGCCTATTATAATACCTAGCAATACCTGCTAAATAGTAGTACTTACTATCATAACAATGTGTCTCTGATTCCTTCCAAAATGTGAACTTCTCAAGGACAGGGTCTCTGTTCAGTTAACTTTTTTTGTTATTTTGTTTCGTTTTGTTTTTTTCGTTTGGTTGGTTTTGGCTTGGGGTTTTTTTGTTTCGCTTTGCTTTTTGAGACAGGATCTTGCTCTCTCTCCCGGGCTAGAGTGCAGTTGGTGTCATCATAACTCACTGCAACCTCAAATTCTTGGGCTCCAGCAACCCTCCTGCCTCAGCCTCCTGAGTAGCTGGGACTACAGATGTGTATCATCACACCTGGCTAATTTTTGTAGAGATGGGGTCTCAATCTTACTCAGGCTTGTCTCAAACTCCTGGCCTCAAATGATCCTCCCACCTTGGCCTCCCAAAGTGCTAACATTACAGGTGTGAGCCACTGCGCCCAGCCTCAGTTCACTTTTTGCATCATCAACACCCAGAGCAGAGCCTGACATGCATTCAAATGTTTGTTGAATGAATGAATGCTGTTGACCATAAGTGTGTTTGGCAAAGTTAAAAGGAACAAGGAAATAGCAATTGTTATGAGTTGAATTGTGTCTCCCCCAAACTCATATAATCCTCAGTACTTGTGAATGTGACCTTATTTGGAAATAAGGTCTTTGCAGATGATTAAGTTGAGATCATTAGGATGGGCCCTAACCCGATGTGACTGGTGTCCCTATATAAAGAAGAAATTTGGACACAGAAACTGATACACATATAGGGAGAACATCATGTGAAGATTGGAGTTATGCTGCCACAAGCCAGGGAACTACCAGAAGCTAAAAAAGAAGCCTGGAACAGATCCTTCCTTAGTGGCTTCAGAAGAAGTGTAGCACTGCTGACACCTTGATTTTGGACCTCTGGTCTAGAACTGTGAGACAATAAGTTCTTGTTCTAAGCCACCCAGTTTGTGGTACTTTGTTACAGCAGCCCTAGCAAACTGATAGCAGTAGAGTAAATTCAATAATCTAGGGAGGCAATATGTCTGAATAGTCTTCCCTACCTCTGTTTCTGTTGCCACAGGAAATATACATCCTTTCTTTGGTTTCTCTAGAAACAGTTAAAAATTTATATATGAATGGCTGGGTGCGGTGGCTTATACCTGTAATCCCAGGACTTTGGAAAGCCAAGGTTGGAGGATTGTTTGAGGGTAGGAGTTCAAGACCAGCCTGGGCAACATAGCAAGACACCATCTCTAAAAAAAAAAAAAATTGAATTAGCCAAACAGGGTGGCAAGCTTCTGTGGTCCTAGCTACTGGGGAAGCAGAGGCAGGAGGATCTTGTGAGCCCAGGAGTTGGAGGCTGCAGTGAGCTATGATCATGCCACTGTACTCCAGCCTAGGCAACAGAGTGAGACTCCATGTCTTTAAAAAAAAAAAAAAATATATATATATATATATGAAGACCCTTTGTTCACTATAAGGTATTAAACAAATACTGGTCACTGGTCATTTTTATTGATGGGGATGAGCTTTGGGTAATCACCACTCTGAGCCTCTCATCACCTGTGCAGAAGACGTGGCATGCAGAGGTGTGCCCTCACTTGGATTGCCTCATGCTCCAGGGCATATTATTGTACTTTTAAAGATACAGTGTTTTATGCTTCATTTTAGGTGGTTTGAAATGTGTCTCAAGACATAAGAATTGTTTCCAAGCATCCAAATGAAACGGTGGGAGGTGGAAAGAATATTGATTGGTATTGAGTTGACTTCTGTTTGTAGATTGTTCATTCAATAAAGATGGATTTTTTTTAACAGACAGATGTGTGTGGGTGTGTTTGTAACTTTCATTTAAACATAAGAGTACTTATTATAAAAGTGTCAGTACTATCAACTGTGCTTTTCTCAAACACTGAAGGATTTTTATGGCACATAGATGGTTACTTTAATATATCTGGAATTCTGGGGGGGTTACAATTTAATACCAGCTATGATTTTTTGAGTACCTGCTATGTGCCGTGTTCTTTATGTAGATTATTATTAATCCTTGTAATAATATTATGATACAGTTTGTTATTATTTAATAATAATCTATGTCCACTTTGCTGAAGAACAAACCCAAATAAGTAGTAAAACCAGATGAAAAACCAAGATTGTTTCTGAATCCAAAGCTCTTCCCTTAACATATACTATTCCTCATAGACACCTCCCCTCCATTTTCAGAGTGAATATTATGTATGAAGGGGGAAAGAAGGGGTGGAGAGGATTGTCAGGAATGATTTGTGAAATTCTGGTTCCACCAACATTATGGTGGTAGTAGAAAGAGTGCAGGACTGAGAGGAAGAGACAGCTTTATATCTCAGCTTGCCATTGATTAGTTGATGATCTTGAAAAAGTCACCCAGGCTTTCTTGGCCTGACTAATTCATCTATAAAATCAGGGGATTGAACTAGATGATTTCTAAGTTTTCTATGCTATTTTAAAATTCTATGAACACAACTCTGCAATGAGTTCAAAATTATTTAAGAAGAATGCTGTTAAACATTCTCTTAACTGCCATCAATGCTAGAAAAATCAATATCTCCTTGATTTCATGAGCACTCTCGATAAAAGAGTATCAGCCTCTAAATTGAAAGCTTATGTTCTCTCTTGACTCCATTTTGCAGAGTTGATTTTTGGCATGTGTTATCAACATGCAAATCATGAAGGAGTAGACGGTTTGATCAGCTCATTAAGTCTTGATATGATAGGAATGTTGGCTGAGTGCCCCCTACACTGGAGTCTTTGGGGGATTGAATTTAAATGTGTTAAAGGATAATTATTTTTAAAAAAGTAAATTATGATTCTTATACAAATGTAACATGAACACATATCAAAAATTTTACTTAAGGCTGGGCAAAGTGGCTCACACTTGTAATCCTAGCACTTTGGGAGGCCAAGGACAGAGGACTGCTTGAGCCCAGGAGTTTGAGAATAGCCTGAGCAAGAGCAAGACCCCCATCTCTACAAAAACTAGAAAAATTAGCCAAGTGTGGTGGCACGCACCTGTAGTCCCAGCTCCTTGGGAGGCTGAAGCAGGAGGATTGTCTGAGCCCAGGAGTTGGAGGCTGCAGTGAGCTATGATGACACCACTGCACTCTAGCAAGGGCAACAGAGCAAGACCCTGTCTTGAAAAGAAAAAAGAAAATTTCACTTAACTCATTAATTGATGAGGGAATCCTTAAGATGTTCCAATGGATTCAAAGTAGAATGCAAAGTCCAGTTACATAGTAGGCCATCAGGAATGTTAAAATGAATTTGCTTAATATATGTAAAACTGGCTTTTTCCACAGATGGATGGGGAGAAAGAGATCAATTACACTTTCACAGGACAAAGTTTATTTGCATGTCCACAGCCGAAATTCATTTACACTGGTATCAATTATCTGCAATTTATAGAATTACAAAATAGCTCAAAGATAGCAAAAATAGCTAAAATAATAGGCAGAGAATAACTTGAAATGTGCACTCATCAAGAGACCCAGTAATCTTTTTTGCCCATTTCAAAATCATGCACAATTTTGCCACCTCCTTACAGAGGTCCTCCACACCTGCCCATTCCAAACAGAACCCCGCTTCTTATTCCCTATCACAGTTCTCCATTTACTTTCATCATGGCACCAATTCTGATCTGTACGTTTTTTGTTTACTTATTTATTGTCAGTCAATCTATGCCTTTCCCCATTCCATAGGCAAGCTCCAGGAGGATAAAGTATTCTTTATTGTATCAGTACTTCCTGCCACAGT